CCGGACGTTGTAGAATAGATTCAGGGCATTATGTACAGACAAGGATATGCAAGGATATGAGTACAGTGGAGGTAAACCTAAGCGTTGGGTAACGATGAAAGACATAGCATCACTGGAGGCACCGATTGAGCCGGTCTCCATGTGTATGGGGTGTGGGACAAAGGAGCTCTCTGAGGCTGGTTGAGCGGGACTGGGGGCTCCACAGTGAAATGGTATAATAAGAACTAACCGGAACAGCAATAGGCAAGGCATATTGACATGGGAGAGAGGCATAAACCAATCACAGGTGTTATTCGAGAGAGCTAAGACAACAACTGGTAATGGCGACGAAAGTTTGGGCTGAGGCTAAACAGATAAACAGGACAGATAAACAGGATGGGGGTACCATGTAAAGAAACAGTCCAGCAGGCATCAGCTGTGCAGCTGAGTGATCATAAGGTCCAGTGAACAGTAATAGATGAGTCCGGGAGCAGATCGAATGGCTGCTACAGCACAGGCGAGCAGGAAGCACGGCTGTTGATTGCGTGTACTAGCGGGCCGGGGCTAGCAAATGGATCTTCGTGGTCGTCGCAACGGGAAGCCTGTTGAAACCACATCAGACGATTACGTCGGCAGACCAGTCGTGATGGATCGGCGGGGCTCCGTGTCGACACTAGGAGGTCCTGTCCGGTTGACAGAGAGGTAGATAGCTGGGAGATGGGCTCGAGGCTAGCTCAAGGCTAACTGATGCTTGCTTCGGGGGCGGTGGTGATTAGCCAACAACTTCCATTCGGTTCCAGCTAGCTAGTTACGATGATCCAGTGTTAAGGTCCAGTGATTCAGTGATTCCGGCAGAAAATCGGATATGTTCTTGGTCGATAGCGCTCTGTGCAGACAGTGCAGACTGGCCGATAATAGTCCAGGCTAGAGCTGGCTGGTAGGTAGTGCAGGCCACGGACAATGGTGAAAACCGCTAACGGTGGCTAATAGCAAGTAGCTAGTTAGCTGGCTAGCTGGCTAGTTTCAACTGGAGGTTCAGGATAAAAAGGTAAAATAAATAATAGAATCCGTTCCACATTGGGTGAGGTGGGTTGCAGGAAAGTATATTTAGTTGAAGGATGAAAAGTGTGATTGAGAAATATATACGAAAGAGACAAAAACTAAAAACAGGCTATTTACACGGATACACTACAGAGTACACGACCGCACTGCTACGCCATCTTGGATATGATGCTCAGTTGCCTGTGAGGACAGAACATTCATTGACAGGATTCCTTGTAATGCCTCTGCAGTAAAATCCCTGAGTCCCAAAAAACTTTCAGCCACACTCACAATGTTGCCTATTTTCTCAGATTCCCTCTCTGTTTGCACTGTGCAGTTGATATTCAATGCATAAACGCTACAAGTCCACCTCCTTAACATGCAACATGTCAGGATCCCTCTGTTGACAAGGAACATCATCTTGTGTCTCTACTCCTACTACCATTGCTTCTTAAACTTCACTCCTTTCTTCCACTCTTCTCACCGCCTCCAGATAGGACATGCTGGACAGGCTTATTCTTGCCACCTCCATCTCCTTCACCCTAACAGGACACTTCAGAAATTCGGGTGCATGTTCACCACCACAATTGCAGCATTTAGGCTCAGCTGGCATATGATACCCCTCCGGTTTACATACACTTGACACATTACCAAATATTTTGCATTTATAACACTGCATGGGTTTGGGCACGAAAGGGCTCTCACAGGAAATCTCATGAAATCCAAATACACGTAAGAAGGAAGGGGGAGACTCGTCATCAAAAAACAGTGGAACGGATAGAGTGGGCTTCCTCACTCCATCCACCATGTGGGTCAGTCGGTGTGCACCAACCACTTGATCCAATTCTTCACGTATACTCTTTGCTTTTACTTCTAGTGCCACCCCAGAGATAATCAAATCAAATCAAATCAAATTTTATTGGTCACATGCGCCGAATACAACAGGTGCAGACATTACAGTGAAATGCTTACTTACAGCCCTTAACCAACAGTGCATTTATTTTAAACAAAAAAAGTAAGAATAAAACAACAACAAAAAAAGTGTTGAGAAAAAAAGAGCAGAAGTAAAATAAAGTGACAGTAGGAAGGCTATATATACAGGGGAGTACCGTTGCAGAGTCACCGGCTAGTTGAGGTAGTTGAGGTAATATGTACATGTGGGTAGAGTTAAAGTGACTATGCATAAATACTTAACAGAGTAGCAGCAGCGTAAAAAGGATGGGGTGGGGGGGGCAGTGCAAATAGTCCGGGTAGCCATGATTAGCTGTTCAGGAGTCTTATGGCTTGGGGGTAGAAGCTGTTGAGAAGTCTTTTGGACCTAGACTTGGCACTCCGGTACCGCTTGCCGTGCGGTAGCAGAGAGAACAGTCTATGACTAGGGTGGCTGGAGTCTTTGACAATTTTGAGGGCCTTCCTCTGACACCGCCTGGTATAGAGGTCCTGGATGGCAGGAAGCTTTGCCCCAGTGATGTACTGGGCCGTACGCACTACCCTCTGTAGTGCCTTGCGGTCAGAGGCCAAGCAGTTGCCATACCAGGCGGTGATGCAACCAGTCAGGATGCTCTCGATGGTGCAGCTTCGAAGATCCACACATGACACATTCCAATTCGCTATCTCCTTGAGTCGCAGAGCACGCTCCTTCTGTTCCATAGAAATACAAAAAAACTAAATAAGCCCACTTCTCGTTACTCTCATCGACACCACCTCATCCAACACATCCACAATTTTAATAGAGACTTCAAACGGAACAACCACATTTAACCATGGTAAGGTGACTGGGAATGTGGCAGAATACAAACAGTGTAGCTACTCACTCCGCAATGCAATTAAACTGGCAAAACATCAGTATAGAGACAAAGTGGAGTCGCAATTCAATGGCTCAGATACGAGACGTATGTGGCAGGGTCTACAGACAATCACGGACTACAAAAGGAAAACCAGCCACGTCGCCGACACCGACGTCTCGCTTCCAGACAAGCTAAACACCTTCTTCGTCTGTTTTGAGGATAACACAGTGCCACCGACGAGGCCCACTACCAAGGACTGTGGCCTCTCCTTCTCCGTGGCCGATGTGAGTAAGACATTTAAGCGTGTTAACCATTGCAAGGCTGCCGGCCCAGATGGCATCCCTAGCCGCATCCACAGAGCATGCGCAGACTAGCTGGCTGGTGTGTTTACGGACATATTCAATCTCTCCCTATCCCAGTCTGCTGTCCCCACATGCTTCAAGATGGCTGCCATCGTCCCTATACCCAAGAAAGCAAAGGTAACTGAACAAAATGACTATCGCCCTGTAGCACTCACTTCTGTCATCATGAAGTACTTTGAGAAACTAGTCAAGGATCATATCAACTCTACCTTACTTGCCACCCTAGACCCACTTCAATTTGCTTCTGACCCAGTAGATCCACAGACGATGCAATCGCCATCACACTGCACACTGCCCTATCCCATCTGGACAAGAGGAATACCTATGTAAGAATGCTGTTCATTGACTATAGCTCAGCATTCAACACAATAGTACCCTCCAAGCTCATCATTAAGCTTGAGGCCCTGGGTCTGAACCCCGCCCTGTGCAACTGAGTCCTGGACTTCCTGGCGGGCCACCCCCACGCCTCCAACTCAATCATCAAGTTTGCATACGACACAACAGTAGTAGGCTTGATTACCAACAATGACGAGACCCCCTATCCACATCGACGGGACCGCAGTGGAGAAGGTGGGAAGCTTCAAGTTCCTTGGCGTACATATCACTAACAAATTGAAATGGTCCACCCACTTAGACAGTGTGGTATAGAAGGCGCAACAGAACCTCTTCAACCTCAGGAGGCTGAAGAAATGTGGCTTGGCACCTAAAACCCTCACAAACTTTTACAGATGCACAATTGAGAGCATCCTGTAGGGCTGTATCACCGCCTGATACGGCAACTGCACTGCCCGCAACCGCAGGGCTCTCCAGAGGGTGGTGCAGTCTGCCAAACGCATTACCGAGGGCAAACTACCCGCCCTCCAAGACACCTACAGCACCCGATATCACAGGAAGGCCAAAAAGATCATCAAGGTCATCAACCACCCGAGCCACTGCCTGTTCACCCCGCTATCATCCAGAAGGCGAGGTCAGTACAGGTGCATCAAAGCTGGAATGAAAAACAGCTTCTGTCTCAAGGCCATCAGACTGTTAAATAGCCGTCACTAGCACATTAGAGGCTACTGCTGCCTATTGAAATCACTGGCCACTTTAAGAAATGGAACACTAGTCACTTTAATAATGTTTACATATCTTGCACTACACATCTCATATGTATATACTGTATTTTATTCTATAATATTCTACTGTATCTTAGTCCATGCCGCTCTGTCATTGCTTGTCCATATATGTATATATTCTTAAATTCCATTCCTTACTAGATTTGTGTGTATTGGGTATATGTTGTGAAATTGTTAGATATTACTTGTTAGATATTACTGCACTGTCGGAGCTAGAAGCACAAGCATTTCGCTACACCCGCAATAACATCTGCTAAACACGTGTATGTGACAAATACAATTTGATTTGATTTGATTTGAACGAATGCCAAGAGTGTGCAAAGCTGTCATCAAGGCAAAGGTTGGCTATTTGAAGAATCTCAAATATAAAATATATTTTGATTTGTTTAACACTTTTTTGGTTACTACATGACTCCATATGTGTTATTTCGTAGTTTTGATGTCTTCACTATTATTGTACAATGTACAAAATAGTAAAAATAAAGAAAAACCCTTGAATGAGTAGGTGTAGACTCTTAGGTTTCATTTGACACCAAATTGTGCTCCTATGAACATCACATGTTGATGCTCATGGGTCCTTTTACATGGATATGGCCCTATATATCAATCAGCTATACAATTTATCAACCATTTTTATACACTGTATATACATAATTCGTTTTACCCTAGGCCTATATGGTTTTACCCATCTAGTGGAGTACTAATGTGTGTCTCTAATGTGGCTGAAATCTCTCCGGTGTCACAGTTTTGAGCTTTGTGTAGACATCCAGACAGGCGAACACAGGAACGACCCCCTCCTTAAAGGTATCAGAGAAGGTGTAGATGTGAGACCTCTTCTCTACATCATAGAATGACACCTGGCTCTCTTCGTAATCCAGGTAGATGCCCACCCGGTTGACACTTGAAAGCTTGATTGGTTGGTCATTGCAGGCAATATCCCCAGAGTGTCCAGTAGCCCTTTGCTGGGGTTATCTCAAACCGATTCCTCTTGGAGGAAGTTACAGTGGTTAATCCTAATCTCCAGCTCCCTGTGGGGGTTGCTTCCACCTCCCAGTAGTGATGCCCTGAGGTGAAGAATCTGTCACCAAGCACGCAGTGCCATTAGTTAAAACGATAGGGGTGGTCCATGACATTGGGCCTCTGGCTCCCTCTCAATACCTCAAGCTTGTCGTCTGAAAAAGCCAGCAAAGGGTGGCTAGTGTTGGGGTCCAGGCGGATGGGGACTGTGGAGATTGACAGAGCGATCAAGGGAGGCATCATATGTTTTCAATTGAAGCCTTAAGATTGTTTCTGTCATTTTCTTATTCATGAGGTTAAAGACTCTGAAGTAACCAACTTAATATATTTCCCTGCACTTTATATGTTTGAATGGTATCTGAAACACTGAGAATCCATTGCCATGCTGAAAAAAAATAATGGAATAGGTGAATAGATTTTACACAGGACTTCAATTGAGTGAATCTCCAAGAAGCAGTGGAGGCTGCTGAGGGGAGGGAGGCTCATAATAATGGCTGGCACGGAGCGAATGGAATGGCATCAAACCACGTTTGATGAATTTGATACCATTCCACTGATTCCGCTCTAGCCATTACCACGAGCCCGTCCTCCCCAATTAAGGTGCCATCAACCTCCTGTGCCAAGAAGGTATTGAAATAACTTATTTTGTGAATAATCTTGCCCACCTGAATTGGGGACATATATGGAGTTTCCTAATTGGGAAGGAAAATAATAGTTTAGCACAACAATAAATAGGTGAAAACTTTTCAGTGAACATCAATCATATTTATGGGAAATTCTAAGAGAAAGAGAAACATTTACCCGTTTTCAATACCCTCTGTTTGGACATTAACCACAGCACTGATATGTCCTCCTATGGAGACAAAATAAATATGATTTGTTGGACAGTAATATACACAGGAAAGAATACACACACTGGTTTTAATAATCACTATGTTTCAAAAGTGTGGGCACTGCTCACCTTAGTGTCATGTGATAGCAGAGAGCAAGCCACAAACTCCAACAATGGCAGAACACTGGCCAGCCTTGACTCCTTCCCACTAGGGCACAGGAGACGTTCAATGTCTTCATCTGAGAGACGATTCACCTGCATTACAAAACAATGGGAGAATACACACATAAGATACAGTAACACGCACACACCCACACGGAAATCATTGCCATACCTTTGAGACATTCTTCAGCTCTATTGCCCAGTCCAGGATCATCTTCTCCAAACATCTATCTTCCCAAGTGCCTCTCAAATCATTCATCAAACTTTCATCTTCTGTTACCATGGCTTGCTTCGGGAACTGAGAGAATAGGGTTTGAACATCAGCTATGAACATCTGAACATCACTGAATTATACATACTGTATATGTACTCCTTCATGTATTGTGGGGGTTATTCGGGGGTCACTTATTAGATTTATTATAGATCTACAGGTAACTGCTAAAATAAAGGAAACACCAACATAAAGTGTCTTAATAGGGCATTCGGCACCACGAGCCGCCAGAACAGCATCAATGCACCTTGGCATAAAATGGCAAAAAAAGTAATAATAATAATGTATGCACTCACTAACTGTAAGTCGCTCTGGATAAGAGCGTCTGCTAAATGACTAAAATGTAAAATGTAAATATATTCTACTAGCCATTGTAGCCAAAATAATGGGCAACTGGGCATTTTTATACATGACCCAAAGCATAATGGAATGTTTTAATTGCTTAATTAATCCAGGAAACACACCTGTGTGGAAGCACTTGGTTTCAATATACCTTCCCTTTTTCCACATTTTGTTCTGTTACAGCCTTATTCTAAAATTGATCAAATACTTTTTCCCCTCATCAATCTACACACAATACCCTATAATGACAAAGCAAAAACGTTTTTTATTTTATTTATTTTAAAAACATAAATACCTTATTTACATAAGAATTCAGACCCTTTGCTATGAGACTCGAAATTGAGCTCAGGTGAATCCTGTTTCCATTGATCATCCTTGAGATGTTTCTACAACTTGATTGGAGTCCACCTGTGGTAATTCCATTGATTGGCCATGATTTGGAAAGGCACACACCTGTCAATATAAGGTCCCACAGTTGACAGTGCATGTCAGAGCAAAAACCAAGCCATGAGGTCAAAGGAATTGTCCGCAGAGCTCTGAGACAGGAGTGTTTCGAGGTACAGATCTGGGGAAGGGTACCAAAAAGTGTCTGCAGCATTGAAGTTCCCCAAGAACACAGTGGCCTCAATCATTCTTAAATGGAAGATGTTTGGAACCACCAAGTCTCTTCCTAGAACTGGCCGCCCGGCCAAACTGAGAACCCGATGGTCACTCTGACAGAGCTCCAGAGTTCCTCTGTGGAGATGGGAGAACCTTCCAGAAGAACAACCATCTCTGCAGCACTCCACCAGTCTGGCCTTTATGGTAGAGTGGCCAGAGATGCCACTACTCAGTAAAAGGCACATGACAGCCCACTTGGAGTTTGCCAAAAGGCACCTAAAGACTCTCAGACCATGAGAAACAAGATTCTCTGGTCTGATGAAACCAAGATTGAACTCAATGCCAAGCGTCACATCTGGAGGAAACCTTGCACCATCCCTACGGTGAAGCATGGTGGTGGCAGCATCATGCTGTGGGGATGTTTTTCAGTGACAGGGACTGGGAGACTAGTCAGGATCGAAGCAAAGCACAGCGATCCTTGATGAAAATCTGCTCCAGAGAGCTCAGGACCTCAGACTTCCAACAGGACAAAGCACACAGCGAAGACAATGCAGGAGTGGCTTCGGGACAAGTCTCTGAATGTCCTTGAGTGGCCCAGCCAGAGCCTGGACTTGAACCCGATCGAACATCTCTGGAGAGACCTGAAAATAGCTGTGCACCAAACTCCCCAAATACAGGTGTGCCAAGCTTGTAGCGTCATACCCAAGAAGACTCAAGGCTGTAATCGCTGCCAAAGGTGCTTCAACAAAGTACTGAATACTTATGTAAATGTCACATTTCAGGTTTGTATTTTTAATAAATTAGCAAACATTTCTAAACCAGTTTTTGCTTTGTCATTATGGGGTACAGTTGAAGTTGGAAGTTAAAACTCGTTTTTCAACCACTCCACATGTTTCTTGTTAACAAACTATAGTTTTGGCAAGTCGGTTAGGACTTTAATCTTCAACATAGAAATGCTACCAAAAATAATTTACTGAAACTGGTTATAAATGACGGAGTCACCCATGATCCACCAAATTATATTTTGAAGTAGGAAACAAAGTACTTTAAGCATATGTTTTCGTTTCAGTCGCCTGCATCTCCTTTAACTGAAGCTAATTGTAGAGATTTTTTTTCAATTGATAATGTTAAATTAACAGCCATACAGAAAGACTCATGTGAAGGTGAAATTACAGAGGAGGAACTTCTGGATGCAATTAAAGACTTTAAGTCCGGGAAAACTCCAGGGTTGGATGGCATACCAGTCGAGGTATACCAAACCTTTTTTGATATACTCAGAGGACCATTATTAGCATGTTTTAACCACTCCTATGTAAATGGTAGATTATCAGACACTCAAGATAAAGGTCTGATTTCATTATTACTGAAACAGGATACAAGTGGAAAATATAAAGATCCAGTCCACTTAAAAAATTGGAGGCCCCTTACACTTCAGTGTTGTGATGCAAAAATTCTAGCAAAATGACATAGAATTAAAAAGGTATTGTCGGACATTATTCATTCTAATCAGACACAATAGAACACTATGAAAAATCTGGGAAACCAGGCCTGCTATTCATAACAGACTTTGAAAAGGCATTTGATAAAGTACGACTGGGGTTTATATATAAATGCCTGAAACATTTCAATTTTGGAGAATCTCTTATAAAATCGGTTAAAATCATGTATAGTAACCCTAGGTGTAAAATAATAAATAATGGCTATTTCTCCGAAAGTTTTAAACTGTCAAGAGGAGAGAAACAAGGTTGTCCACAATCGGCATATCTATATATTATGGCCATCGAAATGTTAGCTATTAAAATCAGATCCAACAATAATATCAAGGGATTAGAAATCCAGGGCTTAAAAACAGCCTCATAGAGGATTTAGATACATTTTCTAACCTCTCTGGATTACAACCAAATTATAATAAATGTACTATATGTCTTGGATCACAAAAAAATAAAAAATTTACATGACCATGTCGTTTACCAATAAAATTGTCTGATGGTGATGTGGATATACTCTGAATACATATCCCAAATGAGATAAATGATCTCACTCCAATACATTTTAATAGAAAGTTAGCAAAAATAGACAAGATCTTTCTACCATGGAAAGGTAAATACCTGTCAATTTGTGGAAAAATCACCCTGATTCACTCTTTAGTATTATCCCAGTTTACCTATTTGCTTATGGTCTTGCCTACGCCTAGCGAACAGTTTTTTAAATTATATGAGAAAATAATATTCAATTTTATTTGGAACGGCAAGCCAGAAAAAATCAAACTGGCCTATTTATATAATGAATATGAATTCGGAGGACAGAAATTATTAAATATTAAAGCATTAGACCTATCACTAAAAACTTCAGATACAAAAGTTATACTTAAATCCAAACTGGTTCTCTAGCAAATTAGTAAGATTGTCTCACCCAATGTTCAAGAATGGCCTTTTTGCCTTTATTCAGATTACAACCTCTCACTTTCAGTTATTTGAAAAGGAAATAATCTCCCAAATATAGCTATTTCTAAAACAAGCCATAGAAAGTTGGTTGCAATTTCAATTGAATCCTCCAGAAACGACAGAACAAATAATGCAACAAATATTGTGGTTAAACTCAACTATACTAATTGATAAAATAAACATTTTTTTAAAAATAAATGTTTAGAAAAGGTATAATCTTCGTAAATGACATCATAGGTAGGACTGGTGGAGTTATGTCGCACATGCAGCTAACAAAAACATATGGAAATGTCTGCTCTACCCAAAATTACAACCAAATAATTGCAGCATTACCGCAAAAATGGAAGAGGAAAGTGGAAGAGGGAAAAAGTAAGGAACTTGTCTGTCAGCCCTGCATTAAAGAACATAATTGGTTAAATAAAATTGTGATAAATAAAAAAGTATACCAGTTTAATTTAAGGACCAAAGGTTTGACAGCCGTCCCATATAGATTGCAAAATAGTTGGTAAGAAATGTTTGACGTACCGATTCCATGGCATAGTGTTTATGAACTGATGTGCCAAACGACGCCGGATTCAAAACTTATAATTTTTCAATTTAAATTATTATTTACAATTCTTGCTACCAATAGACTGTTATTTATATGGGGGATATAATCTTCCCAGCTCTGCAGATTTTGCTGCGAAGAGACAGAATCATTAGATCATTTGTTTTGGTACTGTCCATTTGTAGCTTGTTTTTGGACACAGGTCCAGGAATGGCTAAAGGATTGCAATATTTACCTTGAGCTAACCCTGCAGATAGCATTACTGGGTGATCTGAAAACTCATAGTCAATGGATCAATAATATAATAATACTTTTAGCCAAAAAAAATATTATCTATTTACAATCTGTATAAACAATGAGAATAGAAAGGTTCAGAACTTTTGTAAAACATCACAGTACAGTTGAAAAATATATGGCAAATAGAAATCCAATATGGATAGTGTTAAGAGATAGATGGGTGGTGTTGAATGGAGTTGAAGGATGGGAATAATTAAAACTAACAACAACTAATAACAACAAGATAACTAATGTAAAGCATACTGTGTCCATAATAAGTACAGTGAGGGAAAAAAGTATTTGATCCCCTGCTGATTTTGTACGTTTGCCCACTGACAAAGAAATGATCAGTCTATTGTTTTAATGGTAGGTTTATTTGAAGAGTGAGAGACAGAATAAAAACAAAAAAAATCCAGAAAAACGCATGTCAGAAATGTTATAAATTGATTTTCATTTTAATGAGGGAAATAAGTATTTGACCCCCTCTCAATCAGAAAGATTTCTGGCTCCCAGGTGTCTTTTATACAGGTAACGAGCTGAGATTTGGAGCACACTCTTAAAGGGTGTGCTCCTAATCTCAGTTTGTTACCTGAATAAAAGACACCTGTCCACAGAAGCAATCAATCAATCAGATTCCAAACTCTCCACCATGGCCAAGACCAAAGAGCTCTCCAAGGATGTCGGGGACAAGATTGTAGACCTACACAGGGCTGGAATGGTCTACAAGACCATCG